TGTGTGGCTGATTGTACTCTGGCAATAACTGCTCGGCTAGAATGGCCCTTGTCCCAGCACAGAGCCAGAAGCACGGAGCTCTTCAGAACAGAGCAAATATGGGACTTCACAGGCCTGTACATGAGGGATGGGGGTTGCAAAGAGTGCAAACGCACCCCCCATGTTCTCCCAAGTAAGCATTCTCTGGCTGGCCAGAGGAAGGCAGGAGCGGTGCGCTGCCTGGCCCTCCCTCTGACCAGCCGGGGGAAGGCTGGGGCTTATTTCCCCACTTACCTGGTGGACCATGAGTGGTGCATCCACATCTTTGTGGTCCACATTTACAACAACACCCCCTCACAGAAATTCCTGAGTACAGGCCTGCTTCAGGCCTCTGCACAGGGGCAAAGTTTGTCCACTGAATAGCCTGCAGGTAAGCACCCAGGTTCTGACTTGCCAATAGGTCAGCTGCATCACTGCCCAGTACAATGGCTCCATGGCTGGGTCACCATCAGGCACCACATCTGGGTCCTTAAAAACATGTGCCCCTGCTTTCTGAGTGGCGTAATAAACCTGCTTGCTGGCAGAAAGAAACAGCTTCCTTCAGTCTACTGTACTTTAGCAGCAGCTTGCACGGTAACAGGGATACAAGGGCCTGGCCTCCATTGTCCCTACATGCCTCAGGGCAGACATTGCAGACCACTGGGCAGCTCACAGCCCCCTTTGATCAAGTGCTCCAGCACCCTGCAGGACTCGACTCTGTGTCAGGACTAGTTGGGACTCCAGCATGGCAACTTTTGGACCAGTTTCTCCAGGGCAGCCTTTGTGTACTACATGGGCTGTAGCCAACTGGCCCCAAGAGGATTCCCCCATGCTGGCTGCTAGCAAACAAAGGATGTCCCTGGGATACCTGCATAAAACAAAGACGAGTCACAAAGGACACAAGAGCCCCTATGGCAGACTGAGGGAGCAAACCTGCTCTAGTGGATTTGCCCATTGACTTTAACAGGAGCAGCTCATAGGTTTGTTCCCCCCTGTTCCTTGTGAGCTCACCTTCTTGTTCTTCTCATATAGGTCTTTCAAAAGTGCATCCAGCTCATTCTCATCAATGAAGCCATTACCATCCTGGTTAACAGAAGCAGGAAAACAGATACACTTCAGGACATGCTTCGTACAACCCAAAGGCCCTACAGTTATCCCCTGCCTCAGGACACCCTGCCCAGCAGGGAACAGCACTCCCTTTAGTCCAGAAGCCAGCAGTAGGGAATTGGTTTCACTGCCACTCCTACTGGGGTAAGGGTCTGAGTCAGCCCACCGCAGGTACCGTAAAGGCTCTGAGTAGGTGGCCTGTCCCAATTCCATTGACATGACTCCATTGAAATCAAGGGTGCTCCACTGGTGTAAGTGAAAGGAGATTCCTGCCTTAAACACAGGCTGAAGGCCAGCAGCAAGAATGCTCCAGAAAAGTAGGATTTAATTCCTCTTTCCTATTCTGTCTCTAAATCCACATATCCCTTGGTCAGGTGGCTAGCAGATCCCTGCATTCACAGACTCTTTGAGTGTGCTGGGCTGCCCTTTACAGGACAAGGCCCCTGTTCACAATGAAACAGAGGTTCTTCATACCCCCTCCATGAGCAGAGTGGTTGGCTACATGCTGAGGGCCAGAGCCCCAGCTAGTATTAATTAGCACAATGACACTGCAACTCAATGGAGCCCAGTAGATTTAAACTAGCAGAGGCTCTGGCTAGAGGGTCTTTAATTCTGTGTTGGTGATTATAGAGGATATAGATTTGAGGGTGAATGAGAAAGAATGCCAAAGTGCCTTTGCCAATCACTGCAGGCTCAAGAGACTAGGGGAAATAAAATGCTAGTAAGACTCAGAGACGTTAAGGTCAGAAGGGACCATTCTGATCATCTAGTCTGACCCCCTGCACAGTGCAGGCCACAGAATCTCACCCACCCCTCCTAGAATAATCCTCTCAAGAGTTCTTTCTGGCTCAAGCTCATGGGATTTCAAATTCCCTTGTGCTTCCCCTACTCCACCACCCTATCCACACAAGCCTCTTACCTTGTCATAAAATGCAAAAATAGCATTGAATTCATCAGTGGCTAGTTTCATTCCCTGAGCAATGACAGGAAAAAGAAAGAAATGAGCCATGCACAAAGGAAGGGATGAGGGGCATATAATCAAATGGAAAAAGAAAGCACAATCTTTTATACCTGAAATTTAAGTAGGAAGTTCTCCTGCACAGGCAAGAGTCTGCAAAGAGATTGTACAAGGGTAAATAGGGAGCTGAGAGGAGACACGAACCCACCACACATTGCCATAGGGATGTATCATCTTCAGAGCTCTGCACAGATGCTGTGCCGGGAGAGGCTGACTTTGCTTGTTCTTCTGTGGACATACTGCATTCAAGCTAATTAGTGAAACTGTAAAGATGTGTCCACAGACTGCACCCACCAACTTCTGAAATGGAAGCCACCATGTTTTGCCACTCAGTTCTTTCCCACAGGGCATAGTCTTCTATTCAGAGATAAAAGGTGTTGCAATTGAAATGTTGGTCACAGCCGAGACTCCAGTGGCTGCCTGCAACCTGATTTGGTCTGATTAGAGAGTTTGGCCAGGTATGGGACAGCAATGAGTGCTACAGGTTGGGATTGAGGTGTATTGGCAGGGCTGGGCAGTTTGTGCTACAGTCTGCCAGCCTAGAGCAAGAATCCTCACTGCCCATGACTGGAGGGCTACGTCTAGCCTACATCCCTTTTTCGTAAAAGGGATGTAAATTAGACGTATCACAATTGCTAATGAAGCGGGGATTTAAATCTCCCCCGCTTTATTAGCATAAAAATGGCTGCCGCTTTTTTCCTGCACGGAGCTTTGTTGGAAAAAAGTGCCAGTCTAGACGGTGATCTTGCGGAAAATAAAGCCTTATTTCATAGAGGGATGAGGGATCTTTCGGAAAAGGCTTTATTTTCCGCAAGATCAGCGTCTAGACTGGCGCTTTTTTCCGACAAAGCTCTGTGCGGGAAAAAAGCAGCAGCCATGTTTATGCTAGTGAAGTGGGGGAGATTTAAATCCCCGCTTCATTAGCAATTGCGATACGTCTAATTTACGAAAAAGGGATGTAGTCTAGACGTAGCCCAGGTGTTTCTTTACAGAGGCCATAAGGGCAAAGGTACTAGGCCTCATGGAAAGCTTTTTTCTGAAGCTGGGCATAGCATTTTCTAGTGTACCTGCTTCTTCTCATGCACTGGTGCGAATGAGAGGTAATTCCATGGTGTTCCAGTGGTGCAAATGGGATGGATGACAGGCTCATGGACTCTAAGAGCAGTAGGGCCTGCCCTGAAGCCCTTTTTTTTTAATGGCTTTGGGGCAGGACTTGGGTGTTTTGTAGAACAAGTGCAGAGGATACCTGGCTGCATGCAGATGAAACTGAAATTCATCAGGGAGGAATAGGGCTTTGATTGGAGGGAGATCCATAGTTTTCTTTGTGGGGCTAAGATGAGGAAGCCCAAGTGACAAGCAGGGGAAGAGGACCCTTACCGGGACATCTCCGACAGGCCCAGCTTCCCGTCCCCATTCAGATCAAACATCCGCAGCTGATGGGACACAAACCAGCAGACTGTTAGTGAACATCTCATCCCTCCACCAGCATCCCCAATCAGGACTGCACCTTGGTCTTGGGCAAAGCAGGGGGTCAGCTAACACAATGTCAGCTATCTGCTGGGGATTGGGAAATGCAGCCTGTTTAATTCAGTCAGAGAGGAGGAAAGGTTGCCAGGTGTCTGACTTTTTACTGGAAAGTTTGTTCAAAGAGGGAACCTGGATGTGTCCAGTAAGCAGCAGTCACAGAGCTCTGCCATCACTGGGTACGAAGTGCAGAAGCTGCTGCTGGACCCTGGAGGAGCTGCTCTCAGCTCAGCTGCTCCTGGGGAGAAGTGGCTGACTTCAGCCTCTCTGGGTGGGTGTGGGGGGGAAATCCACTCAGCCCCCACCCACCCTGTAGTGGCCTGATTTCCCCACCCTGGACCCTTGTCCAAAGACTGACACCAGCTCCTTCCAGCCCCTCCATGCTCCAGCTGGGCGGGCACGCAGGCAAGCAGGCTCCATATCAGATGTAGGAGGGGGTAGGGGTTGCTGGTTCTGGAAGGGGGCTCAGGGCAGGGGTGTGGGGTGCAGTAGAGCATATGTGGGGCTGCATCTGGGAGGCTACAGGCTGGTGGTCCAGCCTGCTATACTTGTGGCTATTTCCGGTCTTAGTGCTGCAGAGCCATTCAGAACCTGCCCATTGAGGGGGCAGCACCTATCTCAGGTGGCCCCAGCCCCACACCGCTTACAGAATGGGGCCCTTGGAGAAGCATGTGGCTCTACGCGTTGCCCCTCTCTACAGACACTCCCCCGCAGCACCCACTGGTCACAGTTCTCTGTTCCCGGCCAATGGGGGGTGCTTGCAGATAGGAGCAGTGTGTGGAGACCCCTGTCCTCCTTGAGTCCATAGCAGGCATGCTGGCTATTCCAGGAGCAGCATGGGGCTGGGGAAGCAGAGCTGCCCTGCTACGCTGCTGCGTCAGGTAGAGCAGCACTTCTGATAGGCTCTGGAAATCACCGGCCTGGAAGGGACCTTAGAAGTCATCTGGCCTGGCCCCCTGCACTCCTGGCAAGACTAACCATCTAACCTGCTCTTAACCATCTCTAATGGTGGAGATCCTACAGCCTCCTTAAGCAACTTATTCCAGTCGGCCTGGAAGGGACCTTAGAAGTCATCTGGCCTGGCCCCCTGCACTCCTGGCAAGACTAACCATCTAACCTGCTCTTAACCATCTCTAATGGTGGAGATCCTACAGCCTCCTTAAGCAACTTATTCCAGTGCCTAATACCCTGACAGAAATGGGTGGGGATGGGACAAGAGGCAGGGGAAGCCCTGTCTTACCAGTCCTCCTTGTGTCTGGGGCTGGGGAGGCTGGGCATATGGGGGTGTGTGCAGAAGACAGGGGCCGTGGGCCATGTTTGCTCCAGGGGGGTGGGCACTTGATAGCAAGTGCTCCAGGGGGCTGGACCATGGGCTGCCTGTGCTAGGAGGTGGAGGGTCTACAGATCACCCATGCTCCATGAGGCCTGGGGAAGGCTGCAGGCCACCCATGCTTGGGCTGGGAGGGCTGCCCCTCTAGGGGGGGGCTTGGCTGCCATGGGTGGCAGGGGCAGGGTCACAGGCAGAAAGGGCGAGGCTGAGGGCTTGCCTCCCCCAACCCTAGATTCATCCACCACCCAGGGTCCAACCTAAAGCTCCTTGGGTGCAATTTAAGCCCACTGCTTCTTGTCTTTTCCTCAGGGGTTAAGAAAAATCATTTTCATCCCTCCTCCTTATAACAACCTTTTACGCACTTGAAAGCTGTTCTGTCCTCTCTGTCATCTTTTTTGCAGGCTAAATAAACCCAGTTCTTTTAATCTTATCTCACAGGCCATGCTTTCTAGACCTTAAATCACTTCTGTAGCTCTTTTCTGGACCATCTCCAATTTGTCCACATCTTTCCTGAAATGTGTCACCCAGAACTGGGCACAGTACTCCAGCTGAGGCCAATCAGCACAGAATAGTGCCGAAGAATTACTTCCTACGCCTTGCTTACAACACTCCCGTTAATGCATCCCAGAATCATGTTTGCTTTTTTTGCAAGTGTCATACTGTTGACTCATGTTTAGCTTGTCATCCATTATGACCCTCATATTCCTTTCTACAGTATCCTTCCTAGACAGTCACTTCCCATTCTGCATGTGTGAAACTGATTGTTCGTCCCTATGTGGAGGACTTTGCATTTGTCCTTATTGAACTTCATCCTCTTTACCTTAGTCCATTTGTCCAATTTGTCCAGATCATTTTGAATTTATAACCCTAGCCTCCAAAGCACTTGCAACCCCTCCCACCTTGGCATCTTCTGCAAGCTTTACAAGTGTATCCAAATCCAGACTTTTGGCTGAAGATGGTAGTAGTGACTAGGGGTTGTGACATTTGGGAGTAAAGGGTAGGTGTCCTTAGAGGAACAGAATTGCCCAAGCAGACGATAGCATCCATCTCAGTGCTACAGGAGCCAGCCTTCTCTGCTATGTTCATCATAAGCTCTTTGGGCTAGGAATGGTCTTTCTGTGGCATGTGTCCCCAGCGTAGTTCAAGGAGAGCCTGAACAGGCCTCTTGGTGCTACTACAACTAGTCAAGCTAGGAGTCGCACTGTAGCACATGGACTCAGTCACTGGGGTGGGAGAGAGGAGAGTGTGAGAGAGACATTCCCCACCCTGGCTAAAGAAGCAGAGGCTACAGGAGCTCTCTCTACACCAGCTGAAGAGGGGGAGGGGTGTGTGGGGAGGAGCTGTTTACCCAAAGCAAGGGAATGAGGGAGCATTTCCTCTGATTTTAGCAGTGGAGGGGGGAGCTGTGTTCCCTCCACTCTACGCCCCGGGCTTTTCAGCCTTTCGCTGGTCCCCCTCTTCAGGCAGCTGGTCTCCTCGTCCCCACACCCTCTGCTGCAATTGCTTCCCCAGGAAGCAGAAAGAGCCCTGGATGGATGGAGCGGGATTAGTTTCCATCCAGGAGGCAACAGCAGAACTCCCTCCCCCCCGGGACTGGTCTCACTTACGATGGTCTGTGTATATTCTTGCAGCTTGGGCTCATCATAGGGCCTGTTCGCTTTCTTTAAGAGGTCTGAAAGGAACCCCTGCGACAGAAGAGGAGCACGTAAGATTCGTCACAGTGACAAGGCCTTGCTTACGAGGACACAACTCTACCTGCACTGCTGTAGTAAAACCGAGCCCCCTGTTTTTCTTCATGGGGGGGGGGGGAGGGGCACATCTGCTGCTGTGAAGTCTAGCCATAGCGTACAAGGGTTGCAAAGAGACACATCACACCTGTCCAGCCAAGAGCTATAGCCGCAATGCAAGAAAATATTACCGTGGGCTATACCAGGGGATGCAGTGGCAGGGATCCTTGGCATCCCCACCACTGGGCCAGGCTTAAAGAAGCACCATGCATAGCACAAATTCCTCTACGAGTACCTAGTCCTTAAATACGCCACCGGCATCTCCTCCTGATTGCTTATTGAGGACAAACTTAGCCCCAATGTACACTGACATCAATGGTGCTGAACCTACTTCCTCTGGGGTTGAATTTGTCTCTATAATCAACAGGGAACAGTTCTCTCACAGCATCACCCAGGAGATTAAGGCATTTCTCACTCTGAATCACCTGCAAAGGAGCCTTCTTGGAAGAGCTCTAAATGCCATTCCAGAGTGGGAATTGCTTGATCCCTGCTTTGCTCTATGCACCTTGAGAAATACCTGGCCCACAGGTAGTGTAAATTGCAACACAGCTCTGACTTCACTGCAGCCATGCTGATTTGCACCACCTGAGGTCAGGGGCTTGCTCAAAGCCTGCTGGCATAACCCGGTTCAGGCCCTTTTCCTCCTGAAAGACACAAGGTTTTTGAGATCAGGAGCACTTCATCAACCCACTAAGTAAGGCAAACCTGGGAGGAAGGGGGAGCTTCCACTGTTGTACACATATAATACCCTAAGATGCCCTGAGTGACTTTGTCATTTCTGCATCACAGCTGGGCTGCATCTAGACTAGCCAGTTTTTCCGGAAAATCAGCTGCTTTTCCGGAAAAACTTGCCAGCTGTCTACACTGGCCGCTTGAATTTCCGCAAGAACACTGACGATCTCATGTAAGAAATCCGTGCTTCTTGCAGAAATACTATGCTGCTCCCATTCGGGCAAAAGTCCTTTTGCGCAAAAGGGCCAGTGTAGACAGCTCAGATTTGTTTTGCGCAAAAAAGCCCCGATCACAAAAATGGCCATCGGGGCTTTTTTGCGCAAAACTGCGTCTAGATTGGCATGGATGCTTTTCCGCAAAAAAGTGCTTTTGCGGAAAAGCGTCCATGCCAATCTAGATGCTCTTTTCCACAAATGCTTTTAACGGAAAACTTTTCCGTTAAAAGCATTTGTGGAAAGTCATGCCAGTCTAGACGTAGCTCTGGTGTTGGGAGGCTCAGTTTTGTATGGTACAGAGAGCCCTCAATGCTCCTGAAGCTGCTGAGCACTTCCCATGGGTCAGAAGGGAACAAAGCTTTCTGGAAATGAAGCCGCTGGTGCTCCAGAAGTCAGTAGATTCTAGGAAGTGGAATTTTAACACATGTAGCCTGCAAACAGTCTTATAATGTACAGTAACATAGACACTTTACAGTGAAATGTGCCTTCGGCCACCACCCACAGGGCAAGACAGAAACAGTTGCCTACTCAGCAACAGTGACATTTCTGAAGACTTCACCAAACCGCCATGGAAACTTTGAGGGTCCTTTGCAGTGGTCACTTAAGACAATACAATGCCATAAAGGAGTGGTCCTTGGAGCAAATTCTACTGTTCTATTGCATTTGTGCAACCTCACTTGAATTCAGTGGAGTTGCAGAGAAGTAATTGGGCAGGATTTGACCTTGGGTGTGTCTGGTGAGTTTTATTTCTAGCTGTTTCTGAATAGCTGCAGACATCTGACCTTTATCAGCTCATTTTCCCAAGCTATTTGAATGTACCGTAGCTTCGGTAAGAGCTTCCCAAATGCTTGAATGCTACACAGCCCCCAGACCTAGCTATCCAGAGCCCAGCTCTGTGTCTGCCAGTGTCCATGACACTTTTCCATTTGGCTTCAATAGCAGGAAGAGGAGGAGCTGCATACCCTGAAACACAATGCAGGCTGAAGTGATCAAGAGCTGCAAAGGGACAGCGGAAGGGATCAAAGCTTAGCTTCTCATAGACCGAGTAATCATAAGCCATTCAAGAGATGTCGACATGCACACACAATGCTTTTCTTAGAGAATGATTCTCAAGAGAGTTATGAGATGGCAAAGAACAGCCCCCACCAACAGCATGGCCCTTTAAAGTCATATCTCCAAGACACTCCATTTATCTCCCACCTTGAGTTCATTGGCTTCTATATACCCACTGCGATCAGTGTCATATTTCCGCCAGGCCTGCAATGGAAATGCCACACATTAGTACAAATGATCCTCCACTGAAAATGCACTCGATTTTGGATAGAGAACGAGGGTTCTTTGATCTAGCAGAGCTGTCCTGTCCATAAGATGGTTTGGGATGGCCATCCCAGGCCCTGTGCTTTGGGGGCCCCTGCAGCAGCTACCTCAACTGTCCTAGTGTCATATTTCCGCCAGGCCTGCAATGGAAATGCCACACATTAGTACAAATGATCCTCCACTGAAAATGCACTCGATTTTGGATAGAGAACGAGGGTTCTTTGATCTAGCAGAGCTGTCCTGTCCATAAGATGGTTTGGGATGGCCATCCCAGGCCCTGTGCTTTGGGGGCCCCTGCAGCAGCTACCTCAACTGTCCTATGGACAGGGCCCCATTTCTGCTGGTGGTGGGAGACAGAGCAGCTGCCACAACCTGCTTTCCTCCATCCCACCCTGGCCTCAGGGCACTGCTTCCCACTACCATGGAAAAGTGAGTCAGAGTAGGTGGGGAGGGCAGTGGGGGACTAGAGCAGGCTGCTAGGCTTCCAGCCAATGGGAGCTGTGAGGATTGTGCTGGAGGTGCTGTGCAGAGACCCACACACTGGCCCCAGCAGCTGGCTGCTTTGAGTGGCATGTGGGGGCACAGCAGCCAGGGAGCCTGCCCGAGGGTCCTGCTGGGCCACAGGACATTGGCAGCCCAGAGTATCATGGTGGGTGAAATCCAAAGGTTTGTTGGGCCAGATCCAGCCTGTGGGCCATATTTTGCCTGCTCCTATAAACTGCATCCTTTCCCGTGATAACTGAGCCCCCAGCTGAAGTCAAGCCCTTTAGATCAGAAGCCTGTTTACAGGCTCCCTTCTTCTCAGACATTTGTGTGGACCTAACAAGTCAAAGGCCATTTATCTCTTCAGACCTTCCCATTAATCCTGAGTTGATTGAGCAAAGTATTTTCCTGCTTCCTGGGAAGATGCTACATTTTCTCCCGCACACGGTGTTTCAGTTAAAGATGTCTCCCTCAGTGCTATTCTACTGCCTGTCATGGATTTCCATTACCATCTGGCATGGGGAGAGTTGGTCTCTTGAGTTTTCTGAAGCCTCATCTCTCAGGGGACTGGTTTTATCATCAGAGGAACTAGGTTACCAGAACTGGGTGCAATCAGGGGAAAGAATGGCTAGATTTCATGCTCATTAGTAAACTTGCTATTGGCAGAGTGGGCTGAGTTTAATATTTAATAGTGTCTGCTTACTAAACAATAACTCCACTTGTCTATGAAATGGCAGCAGGGAGGCTCCTATTTCATGGAACCGCATCACATTTGCATGTTGTCCTTGTGATGCTCTGTAGCTTGAGAGAGTGTCCTGTAACCCTCACTGATATATAGCTGTGACATTGCATGTAAAGCAGAGCATGTGAGATATTAGGGGAAAGCCTAGATCTGCTGAAACCTGTTCTATCTAAATATGTGTCTCTTTAGTGCATTTGGAGTTATGATAGTCTGTTGCAGGGTTGTCACTAAAACAGGCTGTAAAATGGAGAATCAGCCAGATATTAGCTCCCCAGAGACAATAGCATGGAGGGATGTCAAACAACCACCAACAGGCAGTGTCCAGCAAAGGAGCTGCAATGCAATGACTCGCCTTCATGAGGTCACACCAGGGGACTTGCTCAGTCTGTCGTAGGAGCTCAGCAAAACCCCCAGACGTGCCTGGATTTGTGTTCTCCAAGCACATGGGAAGAAGGGTTTAAAACAGAACACAGGGACATATGCTTTGCCTATCCTTCCCCTACCTATGCTACAAGCAACCAGGACAACGAGAAGACTGAAAACTCCAACAGAGGAAACTAGCCCATATGTCTAGCTTGAACCTGTGTAATATCCCGTGAGGTTAGAAAAACTGCTTAATCTCATTGTTACCCAATCTAATAGGGTTGAGAATTTAAACTGTGCACTGACATTTTCTTTTCCTTTGGTAACTAACTTTGACTTTTTGTCTATCACTTATAATCACTTAAAATCTATCTTTTGCAATCAATAAACTTGTTTATCTATTTCTCTTTGACAATGAGTTAGCCTGAAGCATCTGGCAATTTGCTTAGGTTTATAAAGGCTAATGTATGTCCATATTCCATTGAGGAAGAGGTGAACCAACTAATAAATTTGCACTGATCCTCCTGAGCAGTGCAAGACAGTATATTCCTGAGGGACAGTGCGAGGTGCTGGGGAGATTTGGCTGGTGCCTTTGTGTAATTCATGAGTGACTTTGGAGGCATCCATGCAATCTAGCTTGGTGTGAGGCTCCTCATGTGTCTGTGCTGAGTGACCACAGTGCCTGGAGGGGCTTGCTGCTTGTCAGTAGCAAGGCATTATGAGAGACAGCCCAAGCTGAGAGTTAAGGGGGCGGCACACTCTCTCAGTCCCAGACTGCATCGGGGGATTCCCATCACAACACTTGTTTTCCAGTCATTGTTTTATTTTCTCGCATAGTGTTCAGCTGCTACGCTTCACTAGCTGCTGAAACCTTTCATGTACATATAATATTTATGAAGAACTTTGGAATCTTTCTGCATCAGAGATGCCATGTCACTTTATACTTCGAGAAGGTCTTTTATCCTATTGTCTCAAAGAGCTTTTTAAATTTTAAATTCCTAATCCTAAATTGACCCCTCTGAAGTAGATAAAGGAGATAGGGTCATTTTACCCTCCTCTAAAATGCTGTCACGTCTAGGGTTGCCAGGTGTCTGGTATTGACCTGGACACTCTGTTATTTTCGGCTTCTGTCCGGTAAAAAAAAATTCAGAAAATACTGGACACCTAAAATGTCCAGTATTTTCTGATTTTTTCCCAGCCAGGAGGCGAAAATACTGGGTGCTTACCTGGTTCTGCAGGGAAGCTGAGTGGCCCGGAACAGAAAGAAAAGATGGCTGCTGGCAGCCTGTTAGGTCCAAAGAGCCTCAAAGACATTTCTTAAAAGGGCTATGCTGGTGGTTTTTTTTGTTTTTTTTTTTTAAGCTTAATAACTCTTGGGGGGGTTTTTTTTGGTTAACAACTTTGGTCTCCCCTTTTTTTTTCTAATCAGATTTTTTCCCCTAGTATTTTTCTTTTTTTTGGGGGGGTGGGGTGTTCGGTATTTTTGGTTAAATCATCTGGCAACCCTAGTCATTTGATGGCACAAAACAGCACTGCACAGTTTAGGAAAGAAAGTACTCCTTGCCCCCAAAAAGACCATCCAAATAATACTGGGAGTGAAATGTAGAAAAACAGAATACAAGTATCTAAGCTCCAATTTAGGCAACACACTGGGGCTCACTTCTTTACTCTTCTGAGGCTACATCTTCACTCAACAGAAGACTGACGCTGCTGCAATCAATCTTCCAGTGTTCTATTTGGCAGGTCTATTTAAGACCTCCTAAATCAAACTTGAAGGGTGCACCATTGAGGGCCGATACTCCTGCTCTTGCAAAGACTAAGAGAAGCTGATGGGAGCATTTGCTCCCTTTGGCCTTTCACTGTGGGGATGTCAGGGAAACTGAAATCAAGGTATGTCAACTCCAGCTATGTAATTAATGTAGCTAGAGTTGCATATCTTGCTTTGCTCTTCCCCTTTAGAATAGACCTGAGAAATACCATAAGATCTTTAACGAGGATTAGGCTTCTTCACCTCATTTGCATACTTGGTCCAAAGGCCAGGTCTACACTAAAGAGGAAGGTTGAATCAAGATATGCCACTCCAGCTAGCGAGTCGATGTACCTCGATTCAAATTTCCTCACCGTCACCACAGTGGGAGGCTAACAGGAGCAAAGGGGAGTTTGAGAGGGAGTGCAAGAGATCCCGCTGCTCAACAGGCTGCCAGGAGCGTGTACACCTTTGGCACTTAGTGAGTTTACTTGACTGTTTGTTTGCATTTTGTTTCTGTTTCTGGTGCTTTGAAATGCTGTGTGCAGCTTGGAGACACCCCAGCTGACCCCAGGCTGCACACAGTGTTTCAAAGCGGCAGTGCTGCTTGAAGTCCAGGGTCTATCCTCAGGCTCCGGCCACAGGCTCCACATGGCACTGCTGCTTTGAAGTACCCGCTCCTCTTTCTGATAGAGGCAGCAAGGGTTGGGGGAAGCAAATAGTCAACTAGTCGTTTACATCTCTAGTCTGGGCAATCATATGCAAATAGCCTTTTGTCCTTAAGTCTTAGCAGTGGTTGGTAGGGACTGGCCAGGTGACTTCCTATGCAAATAGGGGATCTTTAAAAACAAAAGGAAAGGAGTGTTTTGTCTTTGGCTGGGACACCTGAGGGAAGAAATCAAAGACCCCGGGGTGTGGAACAGCCCTGGTTTGGAAAGCTTAACTGGAAAAGAATCAGTTTTAGGGTGAAGTTGTAATAAGACTGAATACTAAGGTTGCAGTGTTAGTTAGCTAAGCGTTTTCTGTTTTAATCTACTTTGCTCTGCCTAGTCTCACTTATCACTTCAATCCTACTGCTTGTACTTAATAAGATCACTTTTGTTTTCTATCAAACCCAGTGTAAATAATTGTTATCTGGGGGGGAGGGGCAATCAGTGTGTACATTCCTCCTTTCATTGCTAACGGGGACTTATACAAATACTTATTTGGGGGTACTGATTCCATTTGGGGAGTGGTATCCTAGGAAGCTGGGCCCTAAACTGCACTTTCCTTAAATATGAAGAGATTTGGTGTCTGTACTATTTCTTGGGGAGGGGGAACATTGCTCTCAGCTTGGTACATTGGCTAAGGAAGAACAGCGGAGATGGCTCAGCAGGACCAGGTGGTAAGAAGCCCCAGGGAGTAGGAAGGTGAGTGGCAGTAGCTTTGTCAGGACTCTGGAAACCACCCTGAAGGGTCTTCTGTGACCTCACCCCATCACAGTTGGTATCACAGGGTATGTCTACACTACCACCCTAGTTTGAACTAGGTTGGTAATGTAGGCAACCGGAGTTGCAAATGAAGCCCGGGATTTGAATTTCCCGGGCTTCATTTGCATATTGCCGGGCGTCGCCATTTTTAAATGTCCGCTAGTGCGGACTCCATGCCCTGCGGCTACACGCGGCACAGACTAGGTAGTTCGGATTAGGCTTCCTATTTCACTAGGAGTAACCGTAGTTCTGGTAAAAGGGGTAAAAAACAAGAGTGATGTCATGCTAAGGATCTACTACAGGCCACTTACCCAGGCAAAAGAGGTGGATGAGGCTTTTTTTTAAACTAACAAAATCATCCAAAGCACAGGATTTGGGGGTGATGGGGGACTTCAACTATCCAGATGTAAATTGGGAAACTAACACAGCAGGGCACAGATTAACCAATAAGTTCTTGGACTGCATTGGAGATCATTTTTTTAATTTCAGAAGTTTGAGAGACCTACTGGGGGAAGCTTTTCCATATTGGATTTTAACAAATAGGGAGGAACCGGCTGAGAATTTGAAAGTGGAAGGCAGCTTGGGTGAAAGTGATCATGAAATCATAGAGTTCACGATTCAAACGAACGGCAGAAATAGGAACAGCAAAATAGAGACAATGGATTTCAGGAAGGGAGATTTTAGTTAACTCAGAGCTGGTAGATAATGTCTGATGGGAAGCAAGACTAAGAGGAAAAACAACTGAAGAGAGTTGGCAAGCCCTGACTAGAACCATTAATCACCTTCCATGGCTCAAAGCCCTCTCGCTGTTCTTCCTCTTCAAATTCTTGAAAGAGGTAAATTAACTGATTTTAAGTGCCCAGGAATTTAGAACATTCTATTGCAAAGTGAATTTCAGCAGCACAATGCAAGAGGAGACCTCCTCCCCTTCCACAATGAAGCACATCCCACTCATGATAGCATTGGAGTATTGAGTCCAGATTCCTGGCTAGGACTCGGGAGTTTAAAAAAAAGGGGGGGAGGAGGGGAGAGAGAACTCCAAAAGGGCAACAAAAATGATTAGGGGTTTGAAATAGCTGCCATATGACGAAAGATTAAAAAAGACTGGGGCTTTTCATCTTAGAAAAGAGGAGTCTACGGGGGGATTGGATAGAGGTCTATAAAATCATGACTGGTGTGGAGAAAGTGAATAAGGAAAAGTTATTTACTTGTTCCCATAACATAAGAACTAGAGGTCACCAAATGAAATGAGTAGATAGCAGGTTTAAAACAAACAAAAGGAAGTACTTCATGCAACACACAATCAACCTGTGGAACTTCTTGCCAGAGGATGTTGTGAAGACCAGAACTTTCACAGGGTTCAAAAAAGAACTAGATAAATGCATGGAGCTTAGGCCCATCAGTGGCTATTAGCCGGGCTGGGCAGGAATGGTGTCCCTGGCCTCTGTTTGCCAGAAGCTGGGAATGGGCGACAGGGGAGGGATCACTTGATGGTTCCCTGTTCTTTTCATTCCCTCTGAGGGCACCTGGCATTGGCCACTGTAGGAAGACTGTACACTGGGCTCGATGGACCTTTGATCAGCTCCAGTGTGGCCATTCTTAGGTTTAAAAATGCCATCCCAGGGTTTACAGTGTGACTTGGGCCATGCCTTTGGAGATTAGACAGTGCTTGAGCTCCATGGACACCAGTGTTGTGCAGGTGTGATCAGTTAAGCTTCTAGATTGCAAGTATACCAGAGTTTCTAGGTCTTTGGGGTTAGTAACCAGCCAGCACTGATCTGAGAGAGCAGGGGTGTTCCCACAGTCCACTTTGTGCTCATCATAAATTATGTATCTAGTTCAGGTACTTGTCCCCTTAATAAAGTGCAATAGGAGACAAAGCCTATGCCGTAGGCTTTCTGTGGCAGGCCCTGTCTCTCTCTGTATTCACTCATTATAGCTCCACTTGTGAACTGCTTACCACAGGCGACAAAAAGGACAAACAAAACTACTATGTTGAGGTGTAGGGCCAATACGGCTCCTATTTAAATCTATGGCAAAACTGCCATGGACTTTAATGGCATCAAGATTTGGCATGTTGTGTCCATAGCTGTAGAATGTGCTCACTGAGTGGGAGAGCAGAACTGCAGTTGACATATAGCTCTGTCTCTTCCAGGTAAAACATTCAGAGGAAGCTAACATGGCTGCTGGACAGAGAGCCTGGACAAAGATTTCACTAGGCAGCATTCTTTAGGAACAACCACTGCCTTCTCCCTGATAACAGTTCAAGTATATTCCTTCTACCCTGCTTGACTGCCCCATTCTTCACCCACCCCAAGCTCCTAAAATGCAGGAGAAACATTCTACGTAATTGATTGGGATTTAAGAAGTTGCAGGCCAAATTCCTTATTCAGCTTAGGGTTGCCAGATACTTTCAGAAACTACTACAGGCCACTTACCCAGGCAAAAGAGGTGGATGAGGCTTTTTTTTAAACTAACAAAATCATCCAAAGCACAGGATTTGGGGGTGATGGGGGACTTCAACTATCCAGATGTAAATTGGGAAACTAACACAGCAGGGCACAGATTAACCAATAAGTTCTTGGACTGCATTGGAGATCATTTTTTTAATTTCAGAAGTTTGAGAGACCTACTGGGGGAAGCTTTTCCATATTGGATTTTAACAAATAGGGAGGAACCGGCTGAGAATTTGAAAGTGGAAGGCAGCTTGGGTGAAAGTGATCATGAAATCATAGAGTTCACGATTCAAACGAACGGCAGAAATAGGAACAGCAAAATAGAGACAATGGATTTCAGGAAGGGAGATTTTAGTTAACTCAGAGCTGGTAGATAATGTCTGATGGGAAGCAAGACTAAGAGGAAAAACAACTGAAGAGAGTTGGCAAGCCCTGACTAGAACCATTAATCACCTTCCATGGCTCAAAGCCCTCTCGCTGTTCTTCCTCTTCAAATTCTTGAAAGAGGTAAATTAACTGATTTTAAGTGCCCAGGAATTTAGAACATTCTATTGCAAAGTGAATTTCAGCAGCACAATGCAAGAGGAGACCTCCTCCCCTTCCACAATGAAGCACATCCCACTCATGATAGCATTGGAGTATTGAGTCCAGATTCCTGGCTAGGACTCGGGAGTTTAAAAAAAAGGGGGGGAGGAGGGGAGAGAGAACTCCAAAAGGGCAACAAAAATGATTAGGGGTTTGAAATAGCTGCCATATGACGAAAGATTAAAAAAGACTGGGGCTTTTCATCTTAGAAAAGAGGAGTCTACGGGGGGATTGGATAGAGGTCTATAAAATCATGACTGGTGTGGAGAAAGTGAATAAGGAAAAGTTATTTACTTGTTCCCATAACATAAGAACTAGAGGTCACCAAATGAAATGAGTAGATAGCAGGTTTAAAACAAACAAAAGGAAGTACTTCATGCAACACACAATCAACCTGTGGAACTTCTTGCCAGAGGATGTTGTGAAGACCAGAACTTTCACAGGGTTCAAAAAAGAACTAGATAAATGCATGGAGCTTAGGCCCATCAGTGGCTATTAGCCGGGCTGGGCAGGAATGGTGTCCCTGGCCTCTGTTTGCCAGAAGCTGGGAATGGGCGACAGGGGAGGGATCACTTGATGGTTCCCTGTTCTTTTCATTCCCTCTGAGGGCACCTGGCATTGGCCACTGTAGGAAGACTGTACACTGGGCTCGATGGACCTTTGATCAGCTCCAGTGTGGCCATTCTTAGGTTTAAAAATGCCATCCCAGGGTTTACAGTGTGACTTGGGCCATGCCTTTGGAGATTAGACAGTGCTTGAGCTCCATGGACACCAGTGTTGTGCAGGTGTGATCAGTTAAGCTTCTAGATTGCAAGTATACCAGAGTTTCTAGGTCTTTGGGGTTAGTAACCAGCCAGCACTGATCTGAGAGAGCAGGGGTGTTCCCACAGTCCACTTTGTGCTCATCATAAATTATGTATCTAGTTCAGGTACTTGTCCCCTTAATAAAGTGCAATAGGAGACAAAGCCTATGCCGTAGGCTTTCTGTGGCAGGCCCTGTCTCTCTCTGTATTCACTCATTATAGCTCCACTTGTGAACTGCTTACCACAGGCGACAAAAAGGACAAACAAAACTACTATGTTGAGGTGTAGGGCCAATACGGCTCCTATTTAAATCTATGGCAAAACTGCCATGGACTTTAATGGCATCAAGATTTGGCATGTTGTGTCCATAGCTGTAGAATGTGCTCACTGAGTGGGAGAGCAGAACTGCAGTTGACATATAGCTCTGTCTCTTCCAGGTAAAACATTCAGAGGAAGCTAACATGGCTGCTGGACAGAGAGCCTGGACAAAGATTTCACTAGGCAGCATTCTTTAGGAACAACCACTGCCTTCTCCCTGATAACAGTTCAAGTATATTCCTTCTACCCTGCTTGACTGCCCCATTCTTCACCCACCCCAAGCTCCTAAAATGCAGGAGAAACATTCTACGTAATTGATTGGGATTTAAGAAGTTGCAGGCCAAATTCCTTATTCAGCTTAGGGTTGCCAGATACTTTCAGAAAAAATACCGAACGTGGCAGGGAAAAAAAATTGTTTGAGGAAAAAAGAAAAACAAACGGAACCAAAGTTGTTGAGCTAGTGCAACCCCCCCTCCCACCCAAAACCCTCACCGAAAAAAAGGGGCCCTGCGCCTTTAAATCCTATCGCTTGCCGCTCCCTCCACCCCTACCAGATGCTGCAGGGGAGGAATGTCCCAAGCAGCCTTCCGTACAAGAAAAACAGAAAATACCAGACATTTCACATGTTCAGTATTTTCTATTTTTATTTACTTTTATTTATTTTTAATATTTAATATTTTTAATATTTTATTTATAATATTTATTTTTATTTCTCTTTACCGAACAGAGGCTGCCAATACTGGACACCTGGCAACTCGAATTCAGCTCTTGAATTCAGTGGAAATTTAACCTAAGGAGGGCTTCAGGAACTGTTTCTGATAGAATAATAATTTAAAAAATCTGCTTTTTACTTACCTCCATGAATTCGGAGCTGGATCCAACATGCTGTCTGAAACACAAGAGGAAGTTCTCCTCTGTAGGCAGGATTTGAGCCAGCTGGGCGTAGGGGAGACAGCAAAGCCATCAGTGAGTAGAGTAGAAGGCAAGTCACACAACATACAGAGAATGCTTAGCCCCGTGGTCCCCAACACGGTGCTCGCGGGCGCCATGGCGCCTGCGGGGGCATTTGCATGCGCCCGCCAGGTGCTCGGGGCTGGCCTGGCCCCGGGCACATGGCGCGGCGTTTGCGGGGACTAGGGGGGGGCCCCGGGCACCTGGCTCTGCCCCATCCCACTGGTGTGTAGGAGGTGCAGAATGGGATTGGGTTTCATTCTTACAGCATCTTCGTAATTCTTGCTGCTTTCATGTTATACATATATTGTTCATTCTCTCTCTTTCTCTCTCACTCTTAATTTGTTGTTTCGCTTACCCTAAAATAAATCATCCAGACTGACTAGGGGGGGGCCCCGGGCACCTGGCTCTGCCCCATCCCACTGGTGTGTAGGAGGTGCAGAATGGGATTGGGTTTCATTCTTACAGCATCTTCGTAATTCTTGCTGCTTTCATGTTATACATATATTGTTCATTCTCTCTCTTTCTCTCTCACTCTTAATTTGTTGTTTCGCTTACCCTAAAATAAATCATCCAGACTGAAAGAGTATGGTTGCTCTTTGAGCATGGAAAGAACATAGCAAATCACATCTCCATTGTTTGCAATAATTCCTAGAGAAAGGAATTACGTTTCAAATCTTCTATATCTTTTGTCCTCTGCCTAAGGAATATCATTAACAGAGTACCTGTTACATTTCTCTCTAGTGACTAGTTCACTAGGGAATAAGAGCCTACTGCTGGTACCAGGTAATAGAGTTAACTGAAGCCATTAGCTCCAGTGACTGAGGTCTATGCTTTTGTGTTCAGGTCCTGGCCTTATATTTTGCTGACAACCTAGAATGAGGTTTGTTGCACTGTAATGCAACACACTTTTTACATTAATAAGGAAGTCTGAAAGTATTGTGGCTCCTTTTTACTTTGTTGCATTAATATCCTTGATGTTGCTGAACCCAGCTCTTGGAATCAAGTTAGCTGATTAAATGCTGACACAGAACTAACTGGGGAAGGCTAGTCACACTAAATACTTTGTTCTACCTAAAGTTTTTGTAAAAGTGTCTGTTTTACACTTTAATTTTTGGTTATCCAGAAAAAGTGGGGCAAAAACAAAGTCACCTGGGAAGGCAAAAGAGTCCTAAAAATCCACTTTCATCATTGACAGACACTGTTTACAACTTGAGTTTCTTTCCATTTGGACAGGGGAAAACAAGCTAGACAGGTTCATGTGTGCTCCTTGTCAATTTCGCTTCTTGAGTCCTAAGGCAGAAAAACCTGGTGCTGCAAGGTTGGGGTTTCAAGCACAGGAGGGAACTGTTTATATCCAGATAAAACACTATTTTAGTGACATTTTTAAAGGAAACCCAATTAACAATATCAACAATGGAATTAGGAACTTTTTCACCAAACCTTACATTTCAAGCCTTAAAGTACCTAACATTACCCCTTTAAAAATCAAGGCAGTTAGCTCCGAAGCCAATTGTTTCAAAGAAGATTAACAATTTGTAGATAAAACTGAGACCAAAAATTTGTGAGGAATCTCTGTTTTTCCAATCATTCAGTTCTCCTGGTCCACCTGCCTTTTGCTGCCCTTTTCACAGCTGTCTACTAAACTTTGAGTCATTTCTCCCAAGATATGTCAGTACTCTAATGAAAGGGCTGGGCAACTTTTAATAAGGCCCGTGCAGGCAAACAGCTGGAAAGATTTCTTCAAAAGCTCAGGTCGGCATAAGCCTCCTTTTTATTAGGAAACTATTAAAGTGGAGCTTCCAGATAAAGCTGGAGAGTGGGCAGCAGACCTGCAGGAGATAGAGTGACTGACTTTCTTGATTTTTTCACTTAGAGGTAACAGCTGAAAGGAACATGTCCTAGCCACTGAAAACATCCTGGCTATACAGATGGCTTTGTCATGACAGCAGCTCACCAGAGCAATTCATTCTTTCTATAGGTCACACCAAATTCAGACCTGATGTCACTCTACTGATTTCAATGGAGAAGAGTTTGGCTTAACAAGTTCTCAGATACTATAAAGCTGCAAGGATGTAGACTGGGGAGCAAAAGATCTTATACTCCACACTGTCCCTTGTATATACAGTAGCTATACTCGCCAGTCACAGTCTTCCACTCAGAAAGCCAAATGGAGTCTGGCACATTCCATTCATTATGGAAGTGACTAGCTTTAACTGAATTGCAGTCAACCTAAGCCCTGGCAGTGCAAACTAGCAGAGTTGTTGACTTGAGTCCCACGACCTGAACTCGAGTCCGACTTAAGTCGCTTAGGTGACTCGACTTGAGACTCGACTTGGGAATTGACTCGAAAGTGACTTTAGAGACTCGAGACGCAACTTGAGACTTGAACTGTAGCGACTTGAGACTCGACTTGGGAATTGACTCGAAAGTGACTTTAGAGACTCGAGACGCAACTTGAGACTTGAACTGTAGCGACTTGAGACTCGACTTGGGAATTGACTCGAAAGTGACTTTAGAGACTCGAGACGCAACTTGAGACTTGAACTGTAGCGACTTGAGACTCAACTTGGACTTGACAATGACGACTTGAAGACAACACTGCAAACTAGCTGCACTGATTGGGAGGAAGAGCTGAGCTATAGCATGGAGCTACAAGGCCAGGCCAGGACTTTGGGCATCTGCCATGCCATGACTAACATCAGAGCAGAGAGCAGTAAGCGACTGGGGAGCTGTGGGCAGAGAGCCCAATGAAGATGTCGCCAGGCCCAGAGCCAGCTGTGAGTGCCATCCCTAGGCTCCAGGAAGGTTACCCTTGTACCATTTCCCCTTATTTTTCTCACAGTTGCTGTTTAGTAAATTGTGCAGGGTGTAAGCTATTGCACTGATCCCTGGGTCAGAGGTGTGGCCAATGCAGAGACTTGGACTAAGTGACCATGACAAGACTACAGAACATAACATAAGCATGGCCAGATGTAGCCCAGTGTCCTTTCTTCTGACAGTGGCCAGTGCCAGGTGCCCCAGCCAGAAGGAGTGAACAGAACAGGGAATCATCAAGTGATCTTGATGCATTAATGACTAGGGTTTAATGTCCCAGGAACCCTGGGCCCACCCTCATTATGGGTAACAAACATTCTGTTGCACGGAGCATTGACGAAGAGTCCTCAAGGGCAGACAGACTTCTGGGTAAAGGGAGTGGGGAAAAAGGACTTAGGTCTTTTTACTATCTGATTCCACTGCGGTAGTACAGAAGCCAGAAAAGTTCCCCATGCCAGTGGGACCATACCCCCACATACACTGAGCTGCCACCACCTGTACTAAAGAAGGAAGCATTAGCAGATTTGAACATCTTTTATGGGAGGCAGTGTTACCCAGCAGGCAGAGCACTGAACTGGAAATCAGGACACCTTGGTTATATTCCCAGTTCTGTCACTGGTCTGATGAGTGACACCACACAAGTCACTCTGCTGCTCTGTGTGAGCCTCAATTTCCCCTGTCAAATAGCAATTACGAATTTCAGTACAAGAGCCTGCTATTATATCGACCAGCCATGACAGAGCAAAATATTGAGATTCCCCACTATCTAGAATGCAGCTCACACTCATCTGAGCAGTCAAATATTAGTGCTAAATATATTTCAGTCTTATATTAATGTAATATATATAGCAGGTGGAAACACAGAAAAGCCAACTCCAAGTGACCAGCCAGTTTACAAAAGTGCTCAGCAGACCACCATCTGGGGCCTTATTAAAACAATATGGCAGTAGTAATGCAAAATGGATTCAACTTTGATACCTCATCTCAGGGATGATTTTATACTACTGGCCTTGAAAAATCAGCTTAATCTTTGACCAAAGAGTTGATATAACCCTTTATAACCCTTCTCAAATCTTATTCCAGTGGTGTCATTTTTATTATGAGTAGTCCTGTGGCACCTTAGAGAGTAGCATTTTTATTGTTCCTGTCTAATGCTTATCTGCATCTCTTTAAGCTCTTGGATTTAATAATTTCCTGCAGCAGTGAGAACTGGGTCTCCTGGGTTCAGTTCTGGTCACTCCAATATAGCAGAGATAAAATTAGTCCAGGAAAAGGCAGCAGAAATTATTAGAAGCCTAGAGAGACTATATGAAGATAAATTTAAAAAATTAAGATGTTTTTCTTTAGAAAGGAAAGAAGGTGAATGAGGGTGAATATAAAATAATGACTGGAAGAGAGGAAGGTTCCTATTTATCCATTTCCATACCAAGAAAGCAAAGAGGCAGACAATGAAATTAAAAGGGAATAACTTCCACAGCTGGACACAAGCTAAACACACTAGCTGCTAAGGGTTCAGGAAATATTTTTGTCATGGCTATTTGATTGTACTATTGTCCATGTAGTAGGGACAATGGTATTTTCAAAGGTGCTTAACAGAATCAGGTGGTCAGATCCCATAGAAATCCAATGGACACCCAAGTCCTGGAGGCTGCTTTGACAAGACAGAGCTGAATGCAACATATGGCAGGAGTCACACTCCTCACCTCCAGAGTGCAAGAGGATCCAAGTGCCCACGCTAGGATCTAATCCCCCAGCACAGGTGGGACATCCTGTTTCCTGTGAAACCAGTGACAGGTCTCCCACGGACTTCAATAGAGCCATGATTTAACCCTGAGCACAGTCATATCATTGGGTATGTCTACACTTGCTCCCTATCTTGAGATAGGGTTGCAAATGTAGTGTACTGAAATTGCTAATGAAGCGCGGGATTTAAATATCCCGTGCTTAATTAGCATAATCGCATCCAGCCGCCATTTTGAAATCACATTATTTCAAAATAAAATGCCTCGTGTAGCAGCGTTATTTCGAGAGAAAACCCTTCTCTCGAAATAACGCTGCTACACGAGGCATTTTATTTTGAAATAATGTGATTTCAAAATGGCGACTGGATGCGATTATGCTAATTAAGTGCGGGATATTTAAATCCCGTGCTTCATTAGCAATTTCGGCACACTACATTTGCCTCCCTATCTTGAGATAGGGAGCAAGTGTAGACATACTGTCACTTTATTGGATTGTGAGGGGAGCAGCCGGGGCACTGCTGCACCCATGGGGGGGGGGGTTCGCCCCAAACGTGGCACAAAGGGGGCCATATGAGGGGGCAAACAAAAGCTTGCTTTCTTCTGATTCTGTATCTGCTCTTCACATATCTGTATAATGTCTGTGTGTGTAGTTAGGAATCTGTAATCTGTGTGGAGACTGGAAGTCTCTCTGAATGTGGTTGAGCATTGGGCAAAGCCCGGCCTATGGACATGCTAATTAGCAAGGCCCTGTGGGACAATAGCACTCAAGGGGCCAAGGACACACCTCGGGAATGGTGATCGACACCTATGGGCTACCAGCAGGGAACACAGTGATAGGCCGCTGGCCAGGAGACCTGCTGCAGCCAAGAAGAGACCAGGAAGGAGGTATAAAGATGCCATGTGGCTGACTCCATCTTGGTACTCAGCTCAGCACTTCATCCCAGAGGCAGCAATGCAGGGATCGAAGAGCCCGGAAGACCTGTGAACCCATCCTGATCCTAGGATGCGCAACAAGGACTTTTAAGCCAGCAGCTGTAACATCTCTGCTAGAGCCTGCATCGAGGACTGGGAGATCCGATGCATGTAATGTACGATACTTTAACAACCTTACTCTCATGCTTTTCTTTCTTGTGGTAATAAACCTTTAGATGGTAGATTCTAAAGAACTGGCTCAGCGTGATTTGTGGGTAAGGTCCAGAGGGTAAATTGACCAGGGATCTGTGGCTGGTTTCTTGGAACCGGACAGAACTCATTCGGGGTACATGGGATTGGGTGCTAAGACCCCCCACCTGTGTATGAGGCCTGGGACCATCTGGGGCACGGATATTACTGGGGTGTCGGAGGAGTTTTGCTCGTGAGGCTTCAGGCAGGCAGCTGAAGCACTCTGTGGGACTGGTGTGTGGCCTATTTGGAGAGGTCACCAGTCTGGGGGCTGTAAGGAGCCCCAAAGTTGAGCAATTCGCCCTGAGCAGACGCCCTCAGCTGTGCCCAGACATGGCCCGGTCCATCACACATACCCATTGAGATCAGCTTGTGGGGGTGATGTTAGTGCTAGCACCACTTACCTCTGCCATTTCAATTTTGCCATCAGCATTCTTGTCATACTTCTGCATGAACTCCTTCATCTTCTCTGCGAAACTGCCATTCTTAGAGTCCTGTGAACAAAGTGAGAAGGGTTCTCCCTCTTGCACTCCAGCAGGGCCTCTGTCCCCCCCGTCCCTTCCCCCTCTGTGCAGCATGTCTGGTCAGTGCAGTGGCTTTGAAAGCCAAGCTAATCTAAATGAGTTTGAGGTGAGTAATAACCCAACCTCACATCAAGCTAGGAAAGGGAGCTGCCCATGTGTGGGGGTGTCCCTAGCCAACTAACACCAACTTTACAGGCTACTGGACTACAAACTAGGGATGTTAATTAACAATTAATTTACTAGTTGAGTAGTCGGTGTAATTTCCATCAATTGCTCAACTAGTCAATAGGTACTTCTGCATTCCTCCTCTGAAATGTACAAGAGCCCCTGCTGGGCATTTCAAAGGAGGAATGCGGAACTCCTTGTGCAGTCCAGACTAACTCTGGGCTGCATGTGGGTGGCAGCTTTGAAATGTACAAGAGTCCCCAGCAGGGACTCCGTGTGACATTTCAAAGCGGAGGTGCCAGCATGGAGCCTGGGATCAACTCAGAACCCGGGCTGACCCTGGACTCCATGTGGCACTCCTGCTTTGAAATGCTATGGCGGCGTTTCAAAGGGGCAGCGCCACATTGAGCTGACCCTGGGCTCCATGTGGCGTTGCCCCTTTGAAATGTCCCCTCGACGTTAAGGGCAGTGCCACATGGAGCCCAGGGTCTGCTTCTTGCAGTGCTGCTTTGAAATGCCGGGGCTGAGTTTCAAAGAGGCAGTGCCACACAGTTGATCCCAGGATCAGCTGTGCGGTGATGCCCCTTTGAAATGCTGCCACAAGTATGGCTCCATGCAGTGCTGCTGCTTTGAAGTATCTCCTTTTCCCCCCATCTTTACTGCCTCTGGTAGTCATTTGCTTATCGGATAGTCAACTAGTCCTTAACATCCTTACTGCAAACCCCTATTAATGAGTGTAACACTCACTGCCTGTAGCAGCCCTGATTATGCCAGTGGGGCTCTTCTGGGTGGGAAGAGGCTGTAGGACCAAGCTCTATTACTGTGGTCTCCAAACTTTTTAAGCATGAGATCACTTTTTGAATTTAAGTGCAATCCAGGATCTCCCTCAAACCCAAACAGCCTTCCCCCACCTCCTTCCCATCCCTTCTCTGATGCCCCACCCCTGCTCTCTCCATCCTCCCTCCCTTCCCAATCCTCACTCACTTTTAGCAGGCTGGGGCAGGGGGCTGGGATGCAGACTCTGATCTTGGGCTAAAGGATTTGGTGTGTGGGAGGGGTTCTGAGCTGAGCCTGGGGCAGGGAGTTGAGGTGCAGGAGGAGGTTCAGGGGGCAGGCTCTGGGAGGGAGTTTGGGTGCTGGGGGACTCAGGGTTAGGGCAGGGAGTTGAGGTGCAGGAGGAGGTTCAGGGGGCAGGCTCTGGGAGGGAGTTTGGGTGCTGGGGGACTCAGGGTTAGGGCAGGGAGTTGAGGTGCAGGAGGAGGTTCAGGGGGCAGGCTCTGGGAGGGAGTTTGGGTGCTGGGGGACTCAGGGTTAGGGCAGGGAGTTGAGGTGCAGGAGGAGGTTCTGGGAGGGAGTTTGGGTGCTGGGGGATTCAAGGTTAGGGCAGGGAGTTGAGGTTCAGGAGGAGGCTCTGGGAGGGAGTTTGGGTGCTGGGGGATTCAAGGTTAGGGCAGGGAGTTGAGGTTCAGGAGGAGGCTCTGGGAGGGAGTTTGGGTGCTGGGGGATTCAAGGTTAGGGCAGGGAGTTGAGGTTCAGGAGGAGGCTCTGGGAGGGAGTTTGGGTGCTGGGGGATTCAAGGTTAGGGCAGGGAGTTGAGGTTCAGGAGGAGGCTCTGGGAGGGAGTTTGGGTGCTGGGGGATTCAAGGTTAGGGCAGGGAGTTGAGGTTCAGGAGGAGGCTCTGGGAGGGAGTTTGGGTGCTGGGGGATTCAAGGTTAGGGCAGGGAGTTGAGGTTCAGGAGGAGGCTCTGGGAGGGAGTTTGGGTGCTGGGGGATTCAAGGTTAGGGCAGGGAGTTGAGGTTCAGGAGGAGGCTCTGGGAGGGAGTTTGGGTGCTGGGGGATTCAAGGTTAGGGCAGGGAGTTGAGGTTCAGGAGGAGGCTCTGGGAGGGAGTTTGGGTGCTGGGGGATTCAAGGTTAGGGCAGGGAGTTGAGGTTCAGGAGGAGGCTCTGGGAGGGAGTTTGGGTGCTGGGGGATTCAAGGTTAGGGCAGGGAGTTGAGGTTCAGGAGGAGGCTCTGGGAGGGAGTTTGGGTGCTGGGGGATTCAAGGTTAGGGCAGGGAGTTGAGGTTCAGGAGGAGGCTCTGGGAGGGAGTTTGGGTGCTGGGGGATTCAAGGTTAGGGCAGGGAGTTGAGGTTCAGGAGGAGGCTCTGGGAGGGAGTTTGGGTGCTGGGGGACTCAGGGCTAGGGCAGGGATTTGAGGAGCAGGAGAGGTTCAGGACTGGAGCCACAGCTTAGAATGTGGGCTTCAGCTGGATACTGCTTACCACAAGTGGGTTCTGGGTGGTGGTGCAGGGGCCTAAGGCAGGCTTACCCCTACCCTAGCCCTGCACCACTCCCAAAAGCAACCAGTAAACTCTCTCCATCCCTGCACTCTGCTCTGTGGAGATGGGGTACAGGGTGGTGGGAGGGGCACCCTGACATCAGCACTCCCTCTCCTCTTCTTCCTGTGCCCCGCACAGCAAGCAAGAGGCAGGGGGCATCTCCAAGGCAGAGGGCAGAAACAGCACTGCAGTGCTGAGAGGGGCAGATGAAGTGCTGGCTTCCTGGCCAAACATTTCAGGCTCACCTGTCAAAGGATCCAAGATCTACCAGTGGACCCAGAGCTATTACAACTTTTGGTAAAGCTCCCATTAACTTGTGACATCCCATGGCTCCCATGCAGCATCACCAGAGCTCGACAAATACACTCGCCCGCTCGCCGTGGCGAGTAGATTTTGCCAGCTGGCGAGTGCAGGGGCGGAGTGGCCCGGTGGGCCATTGTGACGGGCTGGCCGAAGGCCACACTATGGGCGGCGTGGCACCCATTCACCATGCCGCCCCTGCACCCTGGATCCCCTGCTCTCCCTCTGGCTCTGCGTCACCCTTGCACCCTGCTCCCCCCCGATCCCTGCTCCCCCCCAACTCTGTGTTGTCCGTTCCCTGCACTGCCCCTAGACCCCAATCCCTCTGCCTCTCCTGTTCCCTGTGTCCCATTCCCTGTGCCTCCACCGCACCCCACACCCTGCTCCCCTGATCCCTGCGTCCTTCTGCCTCTGTGCCTCCTGTTCCCCACACCACCCCGTCCCGTCCCCCACCGTTCCCTGCACCCCTCTGGCTCTGTGCTGTCCCTGCACCCTGTTTCCCCTGTGGGTTGGGAGTGAGGGGTGCTTGTCCATAGGGAGGGGCTGGACAGGGCAGGCAAAAGACTGTTGTGATCCAGCAGCAAATGAAAGGAGGCGTTCACTTGAAGCGCCTTTGCCTTTATGGAAAAAAATGAATGAAAATGCTATTTGCTATTTATTTATATTTATTTATTTATAGGGCTAAAATGCTGGGACAAAAAAGAAAAACAAAAATAACCCATTGCAAAATACAAATGTGTAAAAGACAACAAAAAAGGGGGAGGGACTGTTTTGTTGGCCCTGGGGGAGGGGAAGCAGCTGGGCTGGACTGTGGGGAGGGGAGGAGGTCAGGAGAAGAAGAAGGAGAAAGGGGAAGGCACCTAGGGACAGGGATGCAGGAGAGACAAATCCCAGGGGGCCAAGTGGAGACAATGAGGAAAAGGGCAGGAGGGGAGGTGTCAGTGGGAAGGGGGGGGACAGGGTGATGCTGGGAGAGGAGAGGGTAAGGGCACTGGGGTCTAGAGGGAGGAGGGGGTGGTGCTGGGAGAAGGCTTGAAAGAAGGGGTGGGCATGAGGAAGGTGGAGATGGAGCAATTCATGTGTGAGGGCACAGGAGCATGAGGGGAATGGGGGCAGAAGGTGCTGAGGGGGTGGGTATCAGGGAAAAAGAGGGCAAAGGGGGCAGGGGCAGTGAGGGAAGGGGGAGGCACCAGGAGGGTGCAGGTGCCAGAAGATTCTGGGGGTGAAGCAGAAGGGCAGGCACCTGCAGGGGATGAACCAGCACCAGAGGAGAGAGGCAGGGCAGGTGTAGAGGGAGGTGTTAGGAGAGGGGATGAGGAGGGGTAGCTCACTTGATCAGAGTGGGGCTACTGGAGGAGTGGGCCCAGGGGGGAGAGAAGGGCTGGTGGAGGGGGGCAGATCTCGGGAGGGCTGAGGGCAGTGAGAAGGGCAGGAGTCAGGACAGCAGAGGAGGGTGAAGAGTTGGGGGGCAGCAGGCACCAGGGGAGCTGATGGAGCAAGGGGAGGAGACAGGGCAGCAGAGGGAAAAGGTCGAGGTTTATAAGATATTTATTAATAACTTGGGTGATATTTATTAAGAATGTATTAGTAATTACTGTTCTTATTCTTATTAGGAATTTATGCCATTAAAAAAAAACACTTTTTTTTGGGGGGGGGAGGGTGGCAAGTTTTTTTTTTGTCTGGCGAATTGAGATTTTCCATAATTTGTCGAGCCCTGAGCATCACTGTGGAGTAAAGCTGGAAAATGTGACCACCTAAAGGCTCCAAAGACAAATATAAAGTCCCTAGACCTATTATTTTTGTGATGTGAAGGGGTGGGAGGACCTGGCCTGTGATTTCTGTTGGGGGTGGGTTAGCAACATTGTTAACAACTCAGAAATGGCAAAGTAGATATTGTAATAAACTTTCCTAAACAAACATGACCTTGGGGTTGAGGCTAAGCCTGAAAAGCCAGATACTGGAGACACTTATGAGACAAGATGTCATGTTAGGAGGTTTTGTTGCTCAAGTGTCTCAGTCATTAGAAGAGACTAAACTAGATGCTCCACAGCACTTAGTTAGTTGACCTACAGAGGAAGCACTGTCCAGTGGTTAGTGGGAGAGGAACTGCATGCTAGTGCTCCTGAATATGTTCCTGATTCAGCTATTGACTTGCTTTGGGGCCTTAAGCAAGTGTCTGCACCTTCCTTCTGCCTCAGTTTCCCTATTGTTAAAATGGGGCTAATAATATTTCTCTCCTAAGATTGCTGCATAGATTAACTAACTTCCATATGTTCAGGGACTAGATCTCCTCAAATGCCAAGTGCTATAAGCTTTGTACAGACTTTTGTTTGGGGCTAGTTCTTTACCTTGTGAGAAATCTGATGGGCGGGTCCCTCTTTAAAGCAGCAAGGGCTTGCCAGGTTATCTTACATTTGCACAGTGAAAGCAGTAGAAAGGGCCATCTGGGCCAAACTCAAGAAAGCCTTGGTTAGGCAAGGGGGTTTGTCTGGCCAGCAGATAGAATGTGATAACTGGAGTCAGCAGGGGATGGGCAATGGATCTGCCAAAGAACAGGCACATTCACTCAATATGTGTCTGGGCTCATGCCATGTCAAATGGCTTGGCTTGAGTGAGCAAACTTTGGCTGGTGGGGACCCCAAACTGTGAGTGTGAGGGGGGCAGCAGCAGAGTTTGCTGATCTCTCTGTGCTCATGTCCAATCCCCTGTATAGGGAGCACAATGTCAGCAGGACAGAACACTCAACGCAGCAGCCTGGTTATGCCACAGCCCCTCCAAGGCCGTGATACCCTGCTCACCAAGGCCATTGGGAAGAGGAGGAGATTGTGTTTCCATAAATTCCATGATTTATGCTGCCAATTCCATCTGCAGCCTTGCATAGACTTGAATGAATATTGAACAGATATCCTCTGCCAGGCTCTGTGCCACCTCTGCCAGCCTGATGATCATGTGGCAGTGGCTGAGCCTAGTTCAGTCTCACATTGGTATGGGAAAGGGTGTTGCACAGACAGACCATGCACCCTCCTGCATGATGCAAGCTGCTGTATCAGTGCCAGAACTTCTGGGAAAGCTTGTCTCTGGCTTGCTTTGACTAGAGAGGTGGTACCATGTCCCAAAATATGAGGGTAGTATTGGGGAGGATGAGAGTAGCAAATAAGAGGAATAAATGAGGCTCTTTGGGGCTCACTCATCTCCCCTCCAAACCTCCACCCCTCGATGTTAGGGCTAGAATAAAAGTTTCATAGGGAAGGAGATCAGAGCTGGTTCAGGGGCAAGGCTCTGTGTTATTATATAGGACAAGTGGCCTCAGGGTCCAGTCTGCACTAGCGGGGATTGGGTCCTGGCTGCATATTGGTAGCTAGGGCTTGAAGGCAGCAAATACCCTGAATTGCTCAGCACTGGGGCTCTCTCAGGTGACTGAGGCCTTAGAATCACAGAACTGGAAAGGATCTTGCGAGGTCATCAAGTCCAGTCCCCTGCACTCACGGCAGGACCAAGCACTGTCTAGACCATACCTGACAGATGCTGGGGTCTGCAACCTATGGCTCTCAAACCAAATAGGGCTCTTTTGTCATTCCCAAAATACACGCAACTTTTTTAATTAAAATGAGAAACTAATTCAAAATTTTAAAAACACATAATTACTCATGTAACTTGAATGGGTGCATGAACCTGAATTTGACTAGTTATGAAGTTCAAAGAAATGTGCAAAAAGATGCAGCAGCTAAAGTCCCATTAAATAAAGTCTGAGATTAAGTTTAATTTATGCTATTATTTATTATCATATCAATTATCAATAATATTAAGTTGTATATTTTCAGTCATGCAAATGGGCATTCTTATACTGGCTCTTTGTTGACCACTTTTTTCTGAATGTTGATGTAGTTTGGCTTTTTGGTTTGAAAAGGTTACCAACCTATGATCTAACCTGTTCTTAAATATCTCTAATGATGGAGATTCCACAATCTCCCTAGGCAATTTATTCCAGTGTTTAACCAGCCCAACAGCTAGGAAATTTTTCCTAACATTCAACCTAAACCTCCCTTGCTGCAATTTAAGCTCATTGCATCTTGTTCTATCAACAGAGGCCAAGGAAAACAACTTTTTTCCTCCTGCCTTGTAACACCCTTTTAAGAACTTGCAAAGCTGGGCCAAGACAGAACAGCACTGAATTCTCTTACCCAAGTCCTGTCTCTACTCTTGGTGCACCACAACCCAGAGGAGCTTAGAAAGTTGTCTGAGTTCAGGCCAGTTTGCTCTGGACTCTTTTACAATTGGTTCCACTGGGCTTTGAATGCATAACCCCCAGTTTACAAGTCCAATGTTTTCATTCCCGAGCTATGCATTGCAAGCCTCTAATGGATTTCAGCCTGGTTTTAAGCCAGCAAAGACTGGTCACTGAGTCAAGCTAGTTGTTTACAGCCCCCTCCCAAATCAGGAGAAATCTTAGAAGAGTCTTAGAAATCACTGGGGATCTTTTTATTGGCCTTCCACTATTGGGATCTCCAGGTGGTCCTTAGATCACATTTTTGAGCTGCTCTTCATAAAGCCTCAGCACGTAAATCTATTTTTATTGTCCATTCTAAAGCTGTCTTTACCAAGCACAGTGAATATGACCCAAATTTCCACTGCCAGGTGCTGGGCTCTTAACATCAGTCCTGATATAGGAGAATGAGCAACCACCCTGCTTCTTGCAGCACAACATCTTTAACTCTATGATGTGCACACAGGGTCAAAGGCGGTGCAGAGGGGAACACACCACCGACTGCTGCTGGCACAGGCACACACCCTTCCTGGACCTGGGGAATTGGGGCAGCAAGACATTCTGATGTAATCACTTGACTCCAGTTGCTGTAGCTTTAAGAAAACATCAAATATCGCAAGACACAATAAAGTCATGGAAGTGGCAACACTGGCATGTGGTAGAGAGACAGCAGCCTACAAATGCATATTTGCAACAGATGTTTCCAGTCTTTAGGGTTAGGCAGCTAATAGTTTTTTAAAGCAAACTGTAAGCTATGTAATAATATGAATATATGGAGAAAGCACCCTAACTTCTCAGTACATGGAAACACTTGTTCTAGTATAACCTGATAAGGCACATAAATCCTGCCTACTTTGAAGAGTCTGAACCAATTATCATTGAGAGGTTTAGCTTGGCACTCACACTAGGGTTTTAAGTACCCTAGAGATGGGCCCATGACACCAAATTCAGAACCAGACTTTCTCTATGTCCTGATCTGTTTGGATACCACACTAATCTCAAGTCAGACCCAAGCCCCCAATTCCTTAGCAGTTTGCTCTCGTGACTGGGCATGGCTCCTAAAGCTTGGAGGTGACAGGCACAGATTCCAGATCCCTGAGAGAGGCTCTTCATTGCAACCTTCACAGGGAATGAGGCAACACTAAGCTGTGCAGGAGACGCAGGTCAGTAGAAGAATGGGGAAGGCGGGAACAAAGAAGAGGAGGAGGAAGAACAGCAGGAAGAGGAAAGGAAATGTATTTTTCTTACCACTCCAGCACCCCTCCTAGCACTTTCCAGCTCTTGGAAGAAGTTTTCTAGCTCCTTGCCTTCAATGTAGCCATTTCCTGCAAGGAAAACAAACATGATTGAAAGTGGTTGAGCCAGTGAGGGGGCTAAGGCAGTACAGAAGATGCTCAGCTCCTGGAGTAATGTGATTACACCAGAATTTAAGCTTTCATCAAAAATAAAAATAAAATTAATTTCTAGCCTTTGTAGTTGGGCAGAAAAGCTTGAAAACATGCCCCAGCTATGCAATTGTGTATAGCCCAATGCAGTAATGTCTGCCCCAGTTTGCAGAGAGTCTCCAACAATTTCTTGGAGAGGGGAAACTGTCTCATTTCTCAATATAGAGCTAACACTGAGGCCTTCTGCTCCAGGATGACCTGCTAAGCCCAACTGGGAAGAGGGTTGGGTGAAACATCAGGGCTGTCTACACTGGCATGATTTTCCAGAAATGCTTTTAATGGAAAAGTTTTCCGTTAAAAGCATTTTCGGAAAAGCGCATCTAGATTGGCAGGACGCTTTTCCGGAAAAGCACTTTTTGCGGAAAGGCGTCCGTGGCCAATCTAGACGCGCTTTTCCGCAAAAAAGCCCCCATCATCATTTTCGCGATCGGGGCTTTTTTGCAGAAAACACTACTGTGCTGTCTACACTGGCCCTTTTCCGGAACAGTTTTCCGGAAAAAGACTTTTGCCCGAACGGGAGCAGCATAGTTTTTCCGGAAAAGCACCGATGATTTTACATTAGATCGTCAGTGCTTTTTCCGGAAATTCAAGCAGCCAGTGTAGACAGCTGGCAAGTTTTTCCAGAAAAGCGGCTGATTTTCCGGAATAACTTGCCAGTGTAGACACAGCCGAGGAGAAGAGTGCAGCTGGCCTGAGCCATGTATCTAAGTGGTTTCACCTGGCTGCTGAAGTATCGCCTGAATACACTCTCAGCCTACCCTGCTGTTTTTTGTAGGGACAATGAAGTTCCATACTGCTTCTCTTGCCTCTCTGGGCTAGGGAAGGGCAGAGCATGGGGCACAGGGTTGTACGGATAGATCCATGAATGGCCTGGTGCCATAGTGTACTTATGGCCCCAGACTGTCTCATCCATCACTGGTCCATCTAGCAGGAAGAGCTCTATGTGTCTATGGAGATCCCTTGCCACTCCTCCATGAACATAGGCAGGAAGTAGACTCTCCAGCTACTCTCCCATAAACTCAGCCCAGGAGTCAGTAATTCAGATTCAGACATTGTTTCTTCTCTGCATTTCCCTCTGCCACTATTCACTCCTGTGAATGCAGAGACTGGTGTTACTGGCTCTCATACCTTGCAAACTAAGCTCAGAACTCAGGCTAAAGGGCTTGGGCTAGCTTACGATATCAGCAGAGAACTGGATATGGACCCATGATGAGTTGGCTCCTCATCCTGGATGCCATATGAGATTCAGACATTGTTTCTTCTCTGCATTTCCCTCTGCCACTATTCACTCCTGTGAATGCAGAGACTGGTGTTACTGGCTCTCATACCTTGCAAACTAAGCTCAGAACTCAGGCTAAAGGGCTTGGGCTAGCTTACGATATCAGCAGAGAACTGGATATGGACCCATGATGAGTTGGCTCCTCATCCTGGATGCCATATGATATGCTGGGGTCCTATAGAACACCTCCCCTCCCCCAATTTTACCAACCTGGACTTCCTCCCCCTGTCCTTGCTGTGCCAAGCCCTCAAGCCTTCTTTAGCACACACTCAAATAAGGCCAGACACAGTTGCAGACACAGACTGAAATCGGCTCTGAGTGGGAAGGTGAATAGAATCATAGACTACTAGGACTGGAAGGGTCCACAAGAGATCATCGAGTCCAGTCCCTGTCCTCATGGCAGGACCAAGTACTGTCTAGATCATCCCTGATAGACATTTATCTAACCTGTTCTTAAATATCTCCAGTGATGGAGATTCCACAACCTCCCTGGGCAATTTATCCCAGTGTTTGACCACCCTGACAGTTAGGAACTTTTTCCTAATGTCCAACCTAAACCTCCCTTGCTGCAGTGTAAGCCCATTGCTTCTTGTTCTATCCTCAGAGGCCAAGATGAACAAGTTTTCTCCCCCCTCAATCTTCTCTTTTCCAAACTAAACAAACCCAATTCTTTCAGCCTTCCTTCATAGCTCATATTCTCTAGACCTTTAATCATTCTTGTTGCTCTTCTCTGGACCCTCTCCAATTTCTCCACATCTTTCTTGAAATGCGGTGCCCAGAACTGGACACAGTACTCCAGCTGAGGCCTAACCAGCGCAGTGTAGAGCGGAAGAATGACTTCTCGTGTCTTGCTCACAGCACTCCTGTTAATGCATTCCAGAATCATGCTTGCTTTTTTTGCAACAGCATCACACTGACGACTCATATTTAGCTTGTGGTCCACTATAACCCCTAGATCCCTTTCTGCCGTACTCCTTCCTAGACAGTCGCTTTCCATTCTGTATGTGTGAAACTGATTGTTCCTTCTTAAGTGGAGCACTTTGCATCTGTCTCTATTAAACTTCATCCTGTTGATGTCAGACCATTTCTCTTGTTTATCCAGATCATTTTGAATTATGACCTTATCCTCCAAAGCAGGTGCAGCCCTCCCAGCTTGGTATCATCTGCAAACTTAATAAGCGTACTTTCAATGCCAATATCTAAATGGTTGATAAAGATATTGAACAGAGCCGGCCCCGAAACAGACCCCTGCAGAACCCCACTGAGTGGGAGGACTGCACACCTCCTTTGGGGTGTAAACCCAAAATAATGTTGTCTTGTGCCATATAGAGAGATCTGTAACACACGCTCATAAAAATCGTCCCCTCACACACTGTGGAGAGAGATATGCACAGTTTTTTTGCCCCTGCCCCTCTCATATGAATTGGATTTGGAACAAAGAACAAGTTTATTAACTACAAAAGGTGAATTCTAAATGATTATGAGGGATAGCAAACAGAACAAAGCAGATTACTGAGCAAATAAAACAAAACATGCAAACTAAGTGTAATACTATTTGTAACCTGTTTCTTTAATGCAATGTTTTAGGTAGGTTGCAGAGGTTCTGCAGCTCAGAGTTTCAGTTATGTCCCTTGACAGACTAAACCCCGTGTCTGAGCACTTGCCTTTCCCGTTCTGTTTCGTTAGGTATTTTTGCAGTGGATATACAGTGGAGAAGAGTCCTGACTGACTCACTTCCCAGCCTGAAATAGGATTTACATAGAGCAGGAACACTTTGTTTTCAGTGGAAAATACCCATAGTGTCCAAGGTGGAATGCCATACCAGGAAAAATCATCACCTGACCTCGCAGTGTCAAAGCAGCATCCCAGGAAGCTCTTCAGGAAGGTGGGAGATCAGTATCTTCAAAGTCCTATTATCCTTCCTAATGGCTCATCCAGACTAAGTGCCTACTGTCCGGTGGGTATCTCCCAAGTACTCACAACTGTAGTTGTTACATAGCTATTGTCCCTAACTTCAGGGAAATCTGTGGCGCAGCATCTCCTATGTACTACACTACAGCTCTAACCGCTGAACCATCTTTCCCCTTGTATTGACCATACCAGGTGACTGTCCCGCTTAGAGAGGCAAATGTGCAGGCTGGTATGTGATGTGATTAGTGTCAACATATGATGGAATCCAGTGAAATCTTTTTACCATGTTTGAAAAAATCCCCTCTCTCCTGGTCTCCAAGGGCATGAAACAAAAGCCAGGTCTGGGTCGATCTGAGGCCTGTATAGCTTTGTTCCAGTCTTGGCTCTGTAATTAATAGTCTTGCAGCATTTGCATTATAAACTCCCAGTTTAGGGATTTACAGCTCAGCCCCAACTGCTTGGTCTGTGATGTGACTTCCTACACAAGAAGCAACCTACCAAACTTCTTCTCTCCTTACCAAATTCGTTAACCACAGCCAATTGCAGGAGAGCATGTAAAAACAAAAATTAGTCTAATTCAGATCCTTCCTAGAAGTCAGGATACAAAAATAGCTTTCATTTTGTTGTTGTTGTTAAAGAGAGGAAATGTGGTTGTCACAGAGCAGGTCCTTTTGACCACGGCCTCGCGTGCGCATTGCCCATTCTGCCACACTAAGGCCCCTCACAGAAAAGGTAGGGTGCTGAGACACGCTGAGAAGCATAACTTGTAAGCACACAATGCAGCTTTCAGTGAAAGGAATTTAACTTTGCAGGCATCAAAAACCAGGGAGGTGAGCATGAGGAGATAAAGCACAGCTGCAGTTGATAGATGAGACTTGCTTGGCTGGTCCTTGAAGTAGAGATAAGCATAAGGAGACAAAGCACAACTATTATGCACACTGACCATGCCCGCATCAGGCACTGTCCACGAGGCCGTCAGGCGGACATCATGAAAAATCCTATAGAGCAATATTACCACACTACCTCATTACCAGCCTATTAGGCTCTGCCAAAAAACAGACCCTAATATGGTACCGGACATCAGGCTATGGTATAAAAGGCCCTTGACCCCTTTGTTCGGGGGGGGGAGGTTCCATGTATTGAGGGCACGTGTCTTTTTTGCCCAGCTGAAGGATTGATCATCCTGAGGCTGCCTTCCTACCCTCCGAGTCAAAGATAAGGGTATGCGAGTCCTGAGCATGCTCCGAGTTCTTGTGTGTCTTTATGCTGTTATTGTTGCTGAATTGGTAAGTAGCGCTTAAATATATTAATTATTGGTTTAGTTAATAGTTGAATTGTGTTAATCTCACTGTGTAATTCTGTAGAGTGTAATTGAGTCCTATTAATCACACTGTGTAAATTGTATAATCTTGTGTTGTATGAAAGTGTTGTATTTAGGCCAAGTATAAGTGTTAGGAATAAAAACCCAGGAGCTGTTAAGTTGTAGAAGTAAATTAATGACTAACTCCCCCAGCTGCCCAAAAATAACCATAGAGGGACTGGCTGTGGGCCGAGTTTTTATTATTATTATATTGGCTTTCTTTTTTTGTATTTTTTGCTTGCATGCTGCGCTGCTTTAAGCGAATTAGAGACAGTGATTTGATATAATCGGACTGTAATCACAGAGTTTGTAATCAGTTAAGTGCAGTTT